TGAAGAGATAATTTTTGATTCCTTCTTAATCTGCCAAAATTTTCAGAATGTATATCTTGCAAATAAAATTATAAATAAATTACTTATACAACTCTAAAATTTATATAAATCTACAGAATACTTAATAAACATGTTATGGTCATTTTTCAGAAAGAATTTTCCAAAAATAAATTATAAATAATTCTTAAAAATTTCAAGAATGTTCATGACACAGATTTATCACATTTTCTTAAATTAATTCCATACTTAAATTTATAAATTTAAAAATTTATTATGAAACTATACTTCTCAAATTTAATTTTTTGCTTAGAAATTACCAAATTTGGTTTAATATAAATTTTTTAATGATTTTTCAAACGCATAATAAAATCTGCCTATAGATCCAGATTTGGTTAAAAATTTGTATAAATTCGTAAAAAACTCCATAATTGTTGAAACATTTTGTGGATGAACTAGACATCATTCTCAACAACTTTGTAGAAGAAATCTTCTTCAAATTTTGAGTAGAAAATTGTCTAAAAATTCGTTCAAATGTTCTGACAGATTCAAGGACCAAATAAATTCTTCAATTCACTCTATAATGATATGAACTACACATGCAAGCTATTTTTACAATAATACCATGATTTTAAGACTATCAATATCTTCAAATATTTGATATACACATCACAAAATTTACATACATATATATATAAAATTTTATCTATAAATTAGTCATTTTATCATATGAATAAAATCTGAAAATTTCAACAATAAAAAATGAGAGTGTTGGGAGGGTTTTCTTATTTAGTTGTAAGATTGAAATGGAATAATGAAATGGTAGGAAAATATACAACTTCAACCTCCTCCTCTTCTTCCACAAGAATTCCCTCTCTCTATATATATATATATTTGTTTTTTTTCCCCGATTAGTCTACGAACATAGTATGTATAAACACTGTGTGTGGTATGAATATATAGAGGCCACTTCTCTGAGGCTCTCTCTCTCTCTCTCTCTCTGTCTTTCTTTCTCTCTCTTCATTCTAAGCATTCTTTCCCTCAATTCCAAAAGCATAACGAGCTCTTCTTCCCTAAACAAACATGCAAACCAACATGTGGAAAGTTGCCACCAAAATCTACAAAGGTTTGGTTTTATTTATTTATTTATATTTTATTTTTTTTGTGTGTATTCTCTCTCTCTCTCTCTCTCTCTCTCTCTCTCTCTCTCTCTTTCTTTCTTTCTCTCTCTTCATTCTAAGCTTTCTTTCTCTCAATTCCAAGAGCATAACGAGCTCTTCTTCCCTAAACAAACATGCAAACCAACATGTGGAAAGTTGCCACCAAAATCTACAAAGGTTTGGTTTTATTTATTTATTTATATTTTATTTTTTTTGTGTGTATTTGTGTGAGTTTCTGAAAATTGATACACTAAGATTTTTAACTAAAGTATTTAGTAAGAATAATTATCATATTGAATCCTAATTAAAATAATTTATAAACAACAAATATTGAACACCCACAAAATTATTATTCTTAATAATGTCTTTGTTAGTGATTGAATTGGATCAATTTAAAACTAACTTTTACACTAATATGCATTTCAGGTAGACTCTGGATAAAATTAATTAATTATTTTTAAGAATAATTAAATGTGGGTTTTCACACCATGTGTGCTTTTTAGATTAAGTTGATTAGGATTATTAGTAATGTGAGATTAAATGATGAAATTATTAATATAATATTTTGAATAATTTATAAATACAGTTCTTGAAGTTTATTAAAAGTAAATTCTCTTCTTATATCTGAGAAATTACATTTCACCTCTTAAGATTTTTAAATACATAATAAATGATCCCATCTATTAATTAAATATTAAGTTAAATTAATAGAGTGTATGATATAAGTAAAAAAAAAAAAATTCTTGAAAAATAACTATAATAACCATTACCAAGTCAGACATTTTTTTTTTCTTCTTCTCATCTCACTTTTCTTATTTTGCATTTTCACTCAATTAGTAATATCATTTTGCCAAACCATCAAACCACCATATCACTCCTTAAGTTTTCTTAACACATAACTAATAATTCCCTCCATTAATCAATTGCTAAGTTAAACATAGTGTATGGCATAAGTAACATTTTGTTTTGTTTTGTCTTGTTTTTATTTTTATTTTTATTTTTATTTTTTATTATTATTATAGAAATACCTATATAAACTTTATGAAGTTATACACTTTAATTTTATTAATTTTATTTTCTTATCTCACTTTCCATATTTTTCTATTTCCTCTCAATTAATAATACCACCTTCTCTAACTATCAAACCACCCTCTCCCACTCTTGATCAACGCGATCGTCATTATTGTCTACATGCAATTTGGTGTGTTACGGAAGAGGATTGAAGAATATTATAATAGTGTAGAGAGAGAGAGGTTGGTGTATGACAATGAAGGTAATATGATAATTTCATTTCGGCATTAGATGGTATTTGGATAATTATTTTTTTAGTTGCCAATTTTTTTTTTGACAATTGGTATTTATAATTTTCAAAATATGAGTGGGAATCCGTATTTTTAACAAATTTCAAAAGATATATTTGTAATTTGCTCTAGCTTTTTTGTATATCAACAATCCAATGTCAGCTTGATTGTTGGATTAGTTGACTAGAATTATGCATACAAAATTAAAAATATAAGATAAATCTTGATCAACACGATCGTCATTATTGTCTACATGCAATTTGGTGTGTTACGGAAGAGGATTGAAGAATATTATAATAGTGTAGAGAGAGAGGTTGGTGAATGACAATGAAGGTAATATGATAATTTCATTTCGGCATTAGATGGTATTTGGATAATTATTTTTTTAGTTGCCAATTTTTTTTTGACAATTGGTATTTATAATTTTCAAAATATGAGTGGGAATCCGTATTTTTAACAAATTTCAAAAGATATATTTGTAATTTACTCTAACTTTTTTGTATATCAACAATCCAATGTCAGCTTGATTGTTGGATTAGTTGACTAGAATTATGCATACAAAATTAAAAATATAAGATAAATTGTATATGTTTATGAGCTAGTGTGATGTATTAATTGATTAGAATTAAGGAAAATGATATAACTTCGTAAAGGCTATTATACAAAAGTGAGTCTAAAAAGTAAATTTGTATATCATTATAATAGGGTAATGTGAGACTATGATGTGTCAAGAAGATAATTAGTTGATAATTAGAGGATATTTAATTATCAACCAATCATCTTCTTGACACATCACTAGATCTAAAAAGTAAGTCTAATTTTTTAGTCTGAATAACAATACTCTCTGATAAAAATAAATAAATAAATAAATAAATAAATAAATAACAATACTCTAGAATTAAGGGTTGGTTTGGCATAAACTAAATAATACAAAAAGTCAAAAAGTCACTATCTTATTTAAGTCACATCATCTTATTTAAATCACATCACCTCTCTAACACATTACATCAAACCCAACCCAAACTCAACCCATATAAGCCAATAAGTCAAAAAGTAAATTTTTTTAAAATATCCCAAACCAACCCTAAATATATAAAATTATGTAAAATTTCTTTTATTATTTTTATAAAATGAGAGCAAAGTAATCTTTTCGTTTCGAATCTGATGAGATATAATGAACAATTTTATCTTTTCCACAAAATTCTAATCGTATCCTTGACGATCATTTACAATCCCATAGCTTTTTCTCAAATAAGCATATATTTTTTTTGTTAGACTGAGAAAATTAGTAATCGAATCCCATTAATAATGGAATCCTATTGATTATGGAATAAAACCAACATGACCCACGAGTCGCATTGAGGCATTGGAATGTGGATAGACATAAGACCAAAAGCAGAAGTACCAAAGCAAAAGTATCTGGGTAGAGAAATTCCCACTCCATGTGGATAGCCTTGGTTCTGTCCCATTTCACGTGTAATATTATTTAGGATTAAACAATTAATGAAATGCTTATTTCTGAGTGGCACCCCATGCAAAAATAAATGAGAAAATTACATTTAAATGGGATCTTCACAAAATATTTATAAATTTATGAAAAAATTTATAATTTTAATTATTAAAATTGATAAAGTTTATTACTAATTTGATTTTTTTTTTAAAAAAAAAAACTACAACTGATTTGTATTTTTCCCAAAATAAATTCCATTTATCAGATTTTGATAGGAAAGAAAATCAATAGTTGATTGGTAAGGGCTTGTTTGTTAATATTTTTATTTTTATTTTTATTGAAAATGAAAAATTGTTTAGTTTTTTATTTTCATTTTCAAAATAATGAAATTGATATTAAAATTTTTAAAAATACAAAAAATGTGTTTTCACTTGTTTTTTAAACAAGTTTTCATTTTTTTCCTTTTACCTTCCACATCCGATTATCACCCACCACCACCACCACCACCCATGACCACAGCTAGTGCATTGTGGCTACTCTCTAATGAATGGATCATCACCGTCATGATTTTCAACCACCTTTTGATGGTGACCATATATTAATTGATGCTCTAAGTGGCACACCACATGCCAAAAAAATTTAAAATTTTAAAATTTAACAAATAAATTTTTTTTTTTTTTAACAGTAATACTACAAAATCAGAAATTTTATTTTGAATTCATCAAAAAAACAATAGTATATGATTTAGATTCATTCTATATATAAAATGAAAATACAAACCTCAGGGGGCGGGATGTAATTTCCGAAACCTCAGGGGGGTATCTGTAATTTAACCAAACCTCGAGGGGTGTATATGTAATTTGCCCTAATTATTGATGCTCTAAGTGGCACACCACATGCCAAAAAAATTTAAAATTTTAAAATTTAACAAATAAATTTTTTTTTTTTTATTTTAACAGTAATACTACAAAATCAGAAATTTTATTTTGAATTCATCAAAAAAACAATAGTATATGATTTAGATTCATTCTATATATAAACTTCATAATACACACTTTTAATTTCCACCACACTCTCATCTTTTACACAAATCTAGGAAAGAAAGTCTGAATTCCTAAATTTTTTTATTTTTTATTTGACCATTGCAAACTCTTGTTTTGTTGTGTGCTCTATATAAGAGGGAAGGGATGACTAAGAGTCTGCACCAGAGCACTCCAAGAAAACCTTTCCTTGTTTAATTTTTCTTTTCCAATTTTTATTTTAAACCTTAGTTTGAGTGAAACAAAACAACACAAGCCATATTCATAGTGATGGTACATAATAATTCATCCTCTGTTTCTGGAAATCAGGATTTGATGAGGATTCGAGTACGCAGAGGCATCAATCTTGCTGTTCGCGATATATTTACCAGCGATCCTTATGTTGTCATCACCATGGGAGGACAGGCCTGTTAAATCACTGCTTTATATATATATATATATATATGTGTGTGTGTGTGTGTTGTGCCTTTGAGTTTTACTAATGATATGATATAATGATCATTCGCATGCCTTTGAAGCTATTATTTTTTGTCTCATGGCTACCATTATGATCAGTTTTGTTTTGGTGAAAATGAATTGGTTTTGCTTGGATTGATTAACAATTTTTTATTTTATTTTACTTTTATTTTTCATTTTCCTGGTCATAAAACCATGTGTGGATTTTTTGTTGCTTTTTTCTCTTTCTTGAAGAAAACTACTTGGATTAACAAGACTAGAAAGTTATAAGGATAGAATCTGAAGAAGGCGACTGCACACTAAAATATTTGAAAAAAATTCTCATATTATACTAATAATTAGTTAGATAGTCTAAAAATTATAACGTTTTGTGCCCTTATAATGGCAAATTTTTAAAAATAATTTTCTAACCGAGTTTTATCAAATTTTAGTATTTTTACCTTGAGTATGCCCTTTTTGTTTAATATTCTATATATTATCTCGTGTGCTTATAATCTTATATTTAAAAATTAATTTCTAAGATTTTACCTAATGTTGTGTTTGGTTAGGAGATTTGGAAAGGAAAAGGGAAAAAACGTGTGAAATTATGTGAAATATTAATATATTTTATTCATATTTTCGTAAATCACTTCCCAAATCCTCCAACTAAATACAGCGTAGTGATTTTCACTTTGATTAGCTCAACAATTTCGTGAAATCTTTAGTTCAATATTTTTGGAAATATTGCTTTTTTCAAAGAATATCTCACTAATCAAACAAAAAAGATATTTTTATCGATAGAATTTATCATAATATTTCTATTAAGAGCATCTACATTAGCCTCACCAAATGTAGTTTTTGTTGAAATACTATTCATTAGTTATTTAATAATTTTTTATTTTTTTGAGACAGATTAATCTATTTTTTATTATATTTTCTCATCCACCGGACGTCTTTCAGGATGTCCACCCAGATGTCCTTGCAGAGAAGGAAGTTTTGCTAAATTTTGGCCTGACTAGTCGACCGCCCCTCAGTGGGTTTGTCTCCTTCGGCTGCTGCTCTCTGTTGTTGCTATAGTGGCTGCTGCTCTCTGTTGTTGCTATAGTGGACTGGAAAAAATATATTTAAATTGAAAAAGATAAAGGAATAAAAAATAATATTTTAATGAAATACAATTTTAGAATAGAGAGTTTGATGGAGTGTGTACATAAAATAAAAAAAAAGATTAGCTAAAATATAAAAGTGAATTTTGAATTATAATTTGACTCTAAATTTACTGAGGTTGATGCAGATGCTCTAAGAAAAACATCTCTAGTAAGCACTTTTTCTTTCAACAACTCTCCAACAAAAAATCTTCATGTGAAAGGGACGCAAATATTTTAATTTTCAAATTTTAACACAAGGGCAATATAATAAAAAAGAAAGCAATAATTATGTTTTGTAAAATATGATAGCCTACCTAAGACGTATGGACACTTCTAAGAAGGTGATGTATACGTGTCCTGTCCGTGTCAAATACCGACACTCTTTGGATACTTCCCCAACACATGTCCGACACTCTTCAAAACGTGTCATATTTTTTAATTTTTTTTAAAGGTCCAGACACTCTTTGAACACTTAGATGACACATGTGTCTATCGCTTAAACACACATATCTATCGATTAGACACCGGTGAAACTAATTATAAGTTTGAACAAAATAACTTAAAATACAATAATAAAACAAAACTTATATAAATTTATAGGAATTAATGTCATATTACAATTTTTTATTATCTTTGAATGATATATTCATATATCTAATATATAATAAATATATAAAATTATAGATTTTACGCATGTCCCTCATGTGCTGTGTCCTGCATTTTTTGAAAATTAGTGTGTCGGCATATCCGTATCGTATCCGTATCGTGCCATGTATCCGTATCCGTACTTCATTTAAGCAAATAGTTTGGTTTTATTATGTTGGAGAGGATCCAAGCAAACTGGTTGAAGTCTTGATTTCCTATAGATGATTTTTAGTTCTAATTATACGAAAAGTAGAAATTTCTTCTATATATATATATATATAAGATTTTTACAGTCTGAAACAAGAAGCTAGCAGGAAGCAAAAACCTTATATGGGGAAGGGGATAATTATGTATTTATTTATTTAAACTCAGAAGCCTGATTATGCTCTCTCTTCACAATTATACCCAAAATGAAGAATACGACTAATTTTCAATTCTGATTAACTATTTTTCCATCTGAAATTGATCTTGTAATGATTTAACTCCAAATTGGACTAAATTAGAGATTATGCATGAAAGATAAACTCTAGTAGTTCATTTATAATAGCATTCTCTTAACCTTGGCTAATGGACAAATTGATTAGTTGTTCGAGATTATTGCACATTTCTCTAATGGTTTGATTGCTAACAACATTCTTTCTCAGTTGCTTGAATTCTTGCAAAGCAGTTGTAGCTATTATTTCTTCCTCTGATCTTATATGCATTGATGCAGACAGTAAAGACTAGGGTTGTACACAACAATTGTAATCCTGAGTGGAATGAAGAGCTAACTCTTTCAATGAAGAATCCAGTTGTTCCCATGATCCTAGTAAGTTACTCTTCTACTTTTTTTATGTAGTTTTCTTTTTTGGGTAAGAATTTTTTTTTAGCTTTTTTATTTTATATTATTTATTGGGTAAATTACACTGACGCCCCTTGAGGTTTCTGTTTAATACAGATTCCCCTCATATTTGAAAAATTACATTCCCCCCCTAAGATTTGTAATCTCATTACAAATTGTTTCCCGAATTGTTGATGTCATACCTTAAAATTTTTTAAATGACTATTTTGTCATTTTTTCAACTATTTCTTCTTTCTATCATCATGACTACATTCTATAACTTTCTATCATTAAATTTTAGTTAAACATATTTTTATTGAGTGATGATATACAAACATAAATTTTATATAAAATTTTCAAACACAATGATATAATTTAATGGTGATCTTTCACTTCAAAACAAAACACTCATAAACATGATTTATATTTACAACAACATCATAATCACAATATTTTTATAATATTTTTTGTATAAATTTTTATATATGAATACAATTTTTCATCTTTATTTCCACCATCATTTTTCTTTTTCATCTATTCACCTACATTTATTGCAGTATTACCAAATACTATCATTCACATTTATTACAGTAGTACTGTATTTTTTATTTTTTTGTATTTGGTGAATTTTAAAAAAAAATACAAAATATTATACTTCTTAAGTATATCTAGATTATGTGTATCTAAAAAAATAAAAAAAATTGCTTAAACTACTAAAAAAATTAGTAAAAATAAAAAAAAATAAGAAAAATAAAAAAATTTAAATTTTTGTGTGAGTTAAATCAAAGAAGATGATTGTTATTTATCTTTAAATGACATGAACAAAATATCGGTATTATTTTATTATTTTATATGTATAAAGGTTAAGGTGTAAATGTGTCCTTTTAATCTGACAGAGGGGCAAGTGTAATTTTTCAAACGTGAGGGGAGAATCTGTATTAAACAGAAACTTCAGGGGGTGTCAGTGTAATTTACCCTTATTTATTGTTAGTCTGAATTCATTTGCATTTATTTTTGAATTTTGCTAGTGAAGACAAATTGCAACCACATTTTGCAGATTATTAACAGCACATTTGATTTTGGTTCTTTTCAGAGTGTGTATGATGAAGATACTTTCACTAGAGACGATAAAATGGGCGATGCAGAGATAGACATTCAGCCATATGTAGAGTGTATTAAAGTTGGTAAAACAGTTCAGCCAAACAAGAAAAATTGCTTAGCCAAAGAGAGTAGCATTGTCTGTAACAAAGGTAAAATTTACCAAGACATGCGTCTTAAATTGAGGAACGTAGAACGTGGGGAAGTAGAAGTCCAGCTTGAGTGGGTTGATCGTAAAGTTTCCCAGGGTTGAGGTATATGCTCTGTATGTGCTTGCAATATGTGATACATAGGTTGGTATTAGACTAAATATATGTGTAATCTTATATATGTTTGTAGTACTTTTTCTTACTATGAATGCACTAATCCAATGTATCAGTCTGTTTGTGAGAACAAAACTGACTTTGGAGTCATATTTTATGATTTTGACTATATTTTAACAGTTATATGATGTTAGAAGTTCGCCATGTTATTTGCTCTATTGTTTTGAGATATTGATGAATTTGACTCTCATTGGGAGTGTTGGAACAATCTTCTGTGTAAATAAAATAACTTAAAATAATTCAAACAAAATAAATAAATAACATACCGGATTTATTTATCGTATCGAATTAAAATTAAGACTAAGTCGAGTGTGTGACACTCTGTCTTTAAGACAGATTCGCTCCACTACGGTGCTTACGGCTGAGTGGCGTCTATCTCCCAGGATACAATGATCTTCACAAATTTGTAGAAGCACTTCAATCAAATTTGTCCGGCGAACTAGAACCTTGTGTTCTATAACTCTCTGAAATTTATTCCTAATATTTTATATGATGAATAATGCACTAAAAGAAAATGGACAGCAAAGAGACAAGAATTTCAGACTGAATTTTTCGGATTAATCAAAATTGGAATGGGGCTGTCTTTATATAGGCTTTGTTGGCACCTATTCAATTTGAATAGAAAATGTATAAAGAAGGGACATACCTATTCCTTTAAAATAAAGAGACACCATGAAAGGTTTGCACCCTTTCATTCAAATGGAGGTTTGACCATTCCTTTAAAATAAAAAGACGCCATGAAAGGTTATACCCTTTCATTCAAAATGGAGTCTATTTCAATTCACAACTACCTCTTTATAAATTTTCCAACAATCCCCCACATGAATGAAATTGACAGAGAGAAAATGCAACAACATGATGTAAATACAGAGAGTACAGAAATTGGAAATATTCTGCAAAGGATAGGTAGCTTTTAGTTTTGAACCTTCCCTTGTGAGACACTATCGGATTTACTAGCTAACCAGTGAACATGATGTCTTGAACTGTTCAGCCGTTTGTGTAAACCAAGACAATAGAACTCACACAGTATATCTCCAGACACAGTTTAGTTCTCACTATTGTGTTCATTTTGGCCCTGAACAACCTGGTCTTTCATGAGTGCTCTAAAGACTTGTAGCCCTTCACAAATCTTATAGAACCGGCCCAGTTCACACTCACATAGGTGATTCTTATGAAAAGTATCATGCCATACTCCACTAGGTTTACCTAGATATAAGAATCATTAAAAGTATTACTTAACCTAAATCGCTACAGACATCACTTATTTCATCATAGAAATGGGTAGGAGTTGGACTCCACAATGATCCTTCTGAGTCAATCACAACTCGGTTGTCCCTTTGAACCTAAATCTTGGGATCTCCAGTCAACTAGGTTGGGTTGCCGTTGTGGTAACTCTTATTTAATAGGCTTAAGTCCCATTCCCCTCGATGAATTCTCAACTAACTCTCTTGCTAACCCTTTGGTTAGTGGATCCGCTATGTTGTCTTTAGACTTAACATATTCTATGGAAATAATTCCATTAGAGAGTAGTTGTCTTACGGTATTAGTGGTAGTGCTCGTAGAGCCTACTTGCAGACACCAACCTAGGGATTACCAGTGTCGTATTTACTACCCCTTGTGATTAAAAAGTTGAAATTTGGAAATTGATGAGAT